CACAGTGTACTTCACAAAGAGCTGGATGTCTCAACACAGCTCTGTTTACTCCAGGTTTCATTTATCTCTCTGTTTGAACTGATGAGCATCTTACAGAGGACAGTTTGTCTCACATCTCTAGGATGAAAGCAGCCGAGAGGTTCAACAAGATTCAACATCTATGACACTGACGAATAAAGTTGGAAAAGATGTAAAATAAATAAATAACAAGGTCTCAAACAATTACAAAGACATCGTTACATGTCCTGCTTGTAGTTGTTGGGAATCCAATTTTTCACATGGATAATATCTATGCAAAAGGGAAATGAGTTAAAAAAGGGTAGAACAAATAAAATATACACAATAAAAACATATTAATATTGTTGCGTTGTTTTTTTTTGTTTGACTATTTGTCTGCTTGTTTTGCTGTTGTCTCTTTTTAGACTGAACATCTGTATATTTTTAGCTAATTGTTTGATATTATCAAATGTTTTTCCTGTTTTTTTTTGTTTTCGTCTCTTCTTAGACTCTACATCACAATCAAAGCATTTCAATATAGTATTTTACTCTACTTTCAGATCTGTAGAGTGTGGTGGTTTTATGATAATGACTATTTTAATTACACTGCACATGTAAAAGCCCAACTAGGGACAAGAGTTGAAAATTAGCAACAGCTATCAACTCATCAGCTTCATGCTTTCTATTGGAACTATGTTAAACTCCATCGACCCTATTAAATGAAGAAATTAACTTAACTAAAACAATGTATTAATTCCTGTGTGATAAAGGTCAGTCTTCACGATAAATATTGAATCTTCTCATCTCAGAAAGAAAACAGAAAACCTGTTTCTAAAATATAAAACCATTCCTTTAATGTGACAACAGTGGGTGAACCACTGCTGCTCTCTGGACGGGGAGTGTTTACTGTCTGTCAGCGGATGGCACAGGGTCAATATAAGTAGAGAGGTAAACAGACAAACACCGAGCGGAGAGAGGGCATGTTTTATTTACCTGAACTGGTTGTGTTGTACTCTCATGTATCTGCCTCACCGTTTTTAATGACGATGAGCCAAAAAACAGGACTGCAATAATACAGCAGCTCTCCACTTTCATGTTCAGCCCTGTACTCTCCTTCCAACGCAGTCTTTCATTTCTTTTTTCCCCTCCAAAACAAATGCTAATAACATGCTAATCTGATTGTGTGTTATTGTAAAGTTTCACTCCTTCACTGAATGAAGCTGCTCGGTGAAAGAACAGAATCTCAAAGAGACGCAAGATAAAAAAGATCATGTTCTTTCACTGTGTGTCCGTATTCTGTCCAGGTGCAGAGCACTTAGCAATTTTACAGGAAACACAAAAGCGAGCACACACACACACACACACACACACACACACACACCACCTGGCACTTGCAGGGGTTACCAGGCAATGCTTGGCCGTTACCCTCAGAAAACACATACACACATGCACTTAAACAGAAGTGTCAGAGAGAGGGAGAGCAGGCGTGAGCAGACCCTCGTCCATTAGTCAAGAGGTAAACACCATCTGGACGTCCACAAATGTTTTCCCCAACACACACATACTCCATGAGATCCATTCATTTCGCTTAATAACATACACACACACACACACAGGGACACATCAACAACACAGGTGTTAACAACGCACACATACACACCCCGAGGGAGGACATTCTCCCTCCATTAACATCCTGTGAGGCCCTGCACTCTTTTTAATTCCAACACCAAGGGGACAAATACATTCTTAAAGACTAATCCTCCTGTTACAGCAGCATTAAAGAGGTTTTATAAGTGATGTCATGTCAACAGCAGCCGAGTGATTGTGATTGTTGTGACTGTTTAGCAATATTTGAGTAAACTGGCTACAAACACAAGGGTTACTACACAACTTTAGGTACAAATGTTCAATAAAAGCCTGAATTAAGATCAGTTCATCTGTGATGAAGAAGTTGATGGTGGTTGTGATGGTGGACATTATAAGTGTACAGTAGACTGTACAGGTGTATCTAATAAAGTGGACATTTAAGAAAGTGGACAAAAGCACTCCCTTCATATAATCTAACTATACTATGAACATGTAACATTACTGTCACTGTCGCTAACACACAGAATCCCTGGTCAACATTAGGAAAACACAATAAAAAAAAAAAGTCAAGGCAGCCATGTAGAAAGTTATACTGTGACAAATAGAGGACAATTAAGTTTGAAAATGCAAAAAAAAAAATGCTACAAGAAAAATCTGAAAATAAAATACCAGACCCTATAGGAATCTCCCTTTTTAAAATCTAATCTTACGTTTCATAAAATATGACAAAAAAGCTGAGAAGAAAAGCAGACACTGGTGAAAAACATGACAAGTGAGTCAGAGGGGCTCAGGTGTTCTTCCTAAATCCTAATGTAAGTCAATTCAAACCATGAGATGGAGCTTTAAGCCCTGTAATATAAAAACTCTGACAGCCGTGACCCTGAGGAATACGCTGTGCAGGAGCTGCTGTTTATTGAGAGGCAGAGTGAGAGCGACTGAAACAGGGTCAGAGAGACAGAGACAGTAACAGTGAACAGGAGAGAGGAGGAGGAGGAGAGTCTGCCAACGAAAAGGAAAACATTAATAAACTTACCCTTGAGAAACATAATAACCTACGATTATTTTCTCAACTAGAATAACTCTGCAGATCAGATTTTCCATCTGAAATCCAGGCTACAATTTCCTGCTGGCTGCATCCAGCGATCCCTCACAGAGGGAAGAAAAAGCTCATTATGAAGCCTTTCAAACGAGCCAAAATAAACTACAGATGCAATTCATTTTAGCTTCCTGATGCTCACCGCAGACGGTGGTCCTTCAACCAGCCCCACCACAGCAACATACAGAAAAGATGGCACAATATTTATGGACTGTATGTGCTGAACATTCAGCTCATGTCTATGTGTTTTATAGAGTTTATGAAAAAGGAACCTGACGATGGAGGAACATCGGAAACATTCAACATGTGAGTTTGATTATATGTAAGTAAACTGTGAGATAAAAGATGACAGGTTGTCCATATCCTACATTCATAGCACACAGCAGAGATGAGACAAAGCACTTGGTGATGCTCTTCGCATTAGACACAGCTGCCATCTGGTGGCAGCTCTTGACTGTGGTGTCACAGCTTCGTATCAGCTAATCCAGATAAGTTTTTAATTCTTCTGAACCTGATCAGGCCTCAGCAGGTGAGTTCTAACCAGGTAACCAGGATCTAATGTAGTTCATTTCTTTTGATTGATCATTTTATTTTGTCTTTTTCATTTCTTAACCCTTCTAACCTTGTTTGCATGAATACACATCTGAATGTATATTTAAATCATTGCTGCTATTAATATTTTTTTTGTTATCTATATATTTTTCTGTACTCAGGTCTCACTTGTAAATGAGAACTTGTTCTCAATGTGGCTTCCTGATGAAATAAAGTATATACATATATATACATATATATATATATATATATATATATATATATATACATATCTATTTTAACAAAAGAATGGTTTAACTTGGTTTTCAGTCCCCATATTTTACATGTTAATGGCAAAGTTATATAGCCCATTCAAGTGAGGGCTTTTAGATCCCACTTTATGCTGTCATTTGCAATCAGTTAGGCTACTCAAAACAGTGGTCCCTATGTTTTTTGCTTGTTTGTCCACATGTTGATGATTGAAAGTCTGTACAGGGTGAAAATAGGCGAATTAATCTTCTTATCTGTCTTATTTCCATTTGGGAGGAAGATGATTTAAGTGTTTGGCATCACGATTTCCATCAAGCTCTGGATGATGCAAATGGTTGCAATTAAGGATTACTGAATGCAACACATCTCATTACAATTAAACTAATTACACTTGAAATTTGTGGGCCCAGCACAACTGAAATGAAACAACATGAAAACAAAAAAGGGAATATTTTAGAACTTCATTCATCATTTCAGTCATTTTAAGAGCAAAATTCAATACTTTTTAGATTTTGTTGAAGAGTTTACAGACATCTGACATAATTTATAAACTAAACAATAAATTCAGTGAGTGACAATCAACAGATTAACTGAGAATAAAAACATGATAAATTGTAGCTCTCAGACTGTAGCACCAAAATAAGAACATATAGAAACTGTTCCAGAAAGAGAGAGAGAAAAATAACCTTCATACTCTCCAAAATTGTAAAAATCATATGTTTAGTTTTCTGTCATAGTGAATAAATGAGGTATGAGCAGAGAAAGATTCCCTTTGTAATCCCCTCTACAACCAGCAGGAGGCAGAGTAGAGCACACACACAAACACACAGATCTGCACACACACACACACAATCATACTGCAGCAGCATTCATCTACAGTACAGTCATGTGGGGTCAGCACTGCACTGTGCTGCATTTTGGCCCATTATACAATCGAGCAAACACGCACACATCACACCGACTGTCATTTCTGCTTCATAAGTGTTTCTATGGATGTTAAATGCTGCTGTGTGTGTGTGTGTGTGTGTGTGTGTGTGTGTGTGTGTGTGTGGCTGTAAAAGTCTGAGTCATCCTCAGTCTGCCCCCCTCCCCCCTGCATTCAGCTGGCAGAGGTTCACTCTAACAGACAGGATCCATATGGAGCAGGACAGATTCACAGTGAGTCGACATTAAAGACTGTCACAACAGCAAAATCACATCTAAGACTACTTCTTGTCGAATTGTGCCAGCAGATGTAGAGCTTCAAGCTAATTCTTGCTAATCTGATTCGATTATGCATCCATAGTTTTGTAAAATGTGATCTGAGCGGGATGACATACAGCCCATGATGACAAATACAACTATCACATCCTAATAATCTTAATTTAAGAGTTTTCAAAGTCTTCAAATCTGAATCTGAGAGGAAGTGACTTGTTAAGATTATGAGGAGTTTTGCAGTCTGTGTGTGTGTGTGTGTGTGTGTGTGTGTGTGTGTGTGTGTGTGTGTGTGTGTGTGTGTGTGTTGGGCTTGTGTACTGACCAGTCCGGTGAGTGATGGAGCAGACTGTCCCAGGGCCTGGCTCCTCATACGGACCAGGTTGTTGACCTCTCCTCCTCCTCCTGCAGATGCTCCCCCGATGGCCCCGAGCGCTCCGAAGCCTCCAGAGGGCCCCTGCCAGGCCAGCTGACTCACCCCGGCGTGCAGACTGCTGGACAGAGGCAGCAGCTGCTTACCTGTGGAGGGAGGGAGTAGAGAATGACTCAGCCAACCTGCTGCTCCCTTACACATGGACACACCGTGCTCGGTTCTGTTCACACTGGACCAGAATCACCCGTTTCTGATTCAGACATGATGCCTCTCCACCCTGAAAAACTGAGTGAAATTCAAAGTGGCTCAAACTTAACAGTAGCTCACATTCATCACTCCCACTGCAGCTGTCATACTCCTCAACCCAACACACAAAAGAAACACAAAGAACTAACCAGCCTTTATGAAAAAGAAAAATACAACTGAGCTGCTGTTTCACAGGGGATTAATACTATCACATGACCTGTGTTTGGTGAAATATGGTAGTTAATCTGAGGTGGAATTTTCACTTTACAGATTAAAGACATGGCAGATTGGCACAGGATTAAGAATATGGACAGTTACCCTGAATCACAGGATGACATCAGGTAACATCATGAATAAATCTTAACACAATTTAAACCGAGGGTGTGAATTGTTCAAAAAGGGGAGGATCAAATCAACTGCTGACTGCTGTGACCTGCCACCCTGAAGCTTCATCTGAACACAACTCATTGTGTTTGAAGCCAAAGAGAAGCTGCAAATTTTAGAGCTGTAATTTCCTAGTAAATCAAATACACTGCTCAAAGAAAATTTAGGGAACACTTAAATCACACATCAGATCTTGATGAACAAATTATTCAAGTTGAAAATCGTTAATTATGTACATTGTATAATTTGTTGACAACAAAATGACGTAACAACAGTCAATGGAAACCAAAATCATCAACCCACTGAGGTCTGGATTAACAATCACAGCCAAAATCAAAGTGAGAAATTGAAATCACAATCAACTCATAATGTGACTCAGTAGTGTGTATGGCCCCCGCGCACCTGTATGCACAACCAACAACGTCTGGGCATGCTCCTGATTAGTCGGCAGATGGTGTCCCGTGGATCTCCTAACACACCTGGATCAGGGCATCAGTGAGCTCCTGTCTGTGGTGGTACTTGGCCTCACATGCACCGATACATAACGTCCCATAGGTGCTCAACTGGATTTAGGTCAATGCCTTTGTCATCCAGGAACTGCCTACACACTCCGGCCACATGAGACCAGGCATTGTCCTGCACCAGGAGGAACCCAGGGCCCACTGCACCAGCATGGGGAGGTATGCTGGATGATGTTGTAGGCAGCATAATGCTCACCACAGCATCTCCAGACTCTTTCATGCCTGTCTCTCACATGTGCTCAGTGTGAACCTGCTCTCATCTGTGAAGAGAACGGGGCACCAATGGCGGACCTGGCAATTCTGGTGTTCTCTGGCAAACGCCAATCTAGCTGCAGGGTGCTGGGCTGTGATCACAGGTCCCACTAGAGGACGTCAGGCCCTCATGCCACCCTCATGGAGTCTGTGTCTGACAGTTTGGTCAGAAACATACACACCAGTAGCCTGCTGGAGGTCATTTTGTAGGGCTCTGGAAGTGCTCCTCCCCTTTCTCCTTGCACAAAGGAGCAGGTATGGTCCTGCCAGGGGTTTGGGGTCACCTGTTGTCACTTTCATTTGCACCAAAGCAGGTGAAATTAATTCACAATCACTTGTGCTTCTTAAATGGTTCAATTGATATCCCTGAACTTTAAGTGACTTGTTGTTATACTGTGATGATTAATTGTTCCCTTAATTTTTTTGAGCAGTTTATACAGGACTGTGAATTAGGGTCACTGAGGGGGAAAAATGTGAAGATTTCCAGAAGAAACTTATAATATTTGATGAGAAAAGTGTTTTTTTAAACAGAATAAATTTGTAATCAAAATTAAATCATGCTACTAAAAGACCACAATCATAGTTTCATGAGAAAAAAATCATAATGACTCAATATTACATGAAAGGCTGAAATATTTTGACATAGTTGTAATGTTATAGGAATAAATATTTAAAATTTCTGTCAAATTATAACAGCCTCTAAATTTTAGCTCATGTTGCAATATTTCATAATATCTTCTAATAATATTGTGACTTTTACAATTTAAAATTGTAAATTGTAAATTACATTTTCATTGTTATTCAGATTTCTTTTATTTAGAAATCCATTCATTGATAAGAACTTCTTTAAAAAGTTGTATGCTGCTAAAACAAAATCATCTACAGTATTTGACATAATATTCCTAATTTTTCCAATTTTCAACATTTAATCAAGTCATTTATTATATTTATTTTAAGTATTTATGAGCGATCTAATGGTACAACTGTTGAATTATTTGGTGCTGTACAGCAGCAGCACTGTTTCCAAGGCAGATTTCCATATAAAGTCTTATTTAAAAATGAAAACTGGGAGTTACAATATTTCATTTATTTGACAAGTTTGTCATGATACAATTATATAATGAGATGATAACAGTTTATTTTTATTTTGCTAGCGCTTTGTGCAGGTGTGTGAGGATGTGTGTGTGTGTGTGTGTGTGTGTGTGTGTGTGTGTGTGTGTGTGTGTGTGTGTGTTACCGGTCATGGCCATGCTGCTGCGTCGTGCCCTGCTCTCGTCCTGGCTGAGCTGTCGGTGCAGTTTGGATTTTGTAGCAGCGGTTGCTGCGGGCGACAGGTCAGGGTTACTCAGCTTCCTGAAGAGGAGAGGAGGGGGAGCGGCAAACTCCTTCTGAAGGGATGAAGAGAAAAGAACAAGAAGACTCATTAGACTTTGTTCAGATTTAAGCTTCAAATCCTAATTCAAAACCAACATCAAAACCAACAGCTGCCAAAGTGAAAAACAGCAACAATCAACAAGGAAAGGTCACACAGGTGACCTGATAAGAGTCTCTTTACCCATGATGTCATGTTGCATCAAGTCTGAACTTCCTATATAATAATATATAAAACCCTGGGATTTGTTAAGAAACTAGCTTTTTGTTTCTGCCCATCAAGCTGCTGATCTTCTTTCAAAGTCATGGAGTTTTATGTCAGATAAACCATTAAAAAAATGTTTCACAAAAGTCAGAAGTGACACAGTGAAATTAAGCAGCATGTGAGAAGAATTTGACAAAAGGAAGATGATCTGATGATCTTATCAATGCTAAAACGAGCATGTTGTGAGGATCTGCTGCTTCCCTCTGTTTTCGACTGTTGGTTGGGCAAAACAAGCCATTTCAAAATACTGATCTTATGAACATGAGACAGGTATTTTCCATTTTTCCTGTCATGTTGTAGGCCTAAAGACTGATTAGTTAATCAAAAGAATAATCATCAGACTTAACAATAACAAAAGTCACTGCATGACACCTTGTTGCTAAAGTTTAATTTTAATCAGGTTTTTGATATTGTGATTGAATACTGACATGTTACTGGAGTCAGACCTGACTGTATAAATCAAAATGGACTGTATATCAGTGCAGTGAGACTGTGATAGCGGGCCAAGAGCCAAAACAAAGTCATAAAACACAACTCACTGACACCACATCTCCTTCTCACATGGTCACAACACACACACTCTAATAGGAAAACCACACACAAACACACACACCTGTTTTACACAGAATGCAACCAGAGCAGTTAGCAGCGTAAAAAGGCACTCAGCTCTCTCTGTCATTAACTCACACTTTCAGCTATGACAGTCTCTCTACTCCAAACAGCTGCAGAGCGACTGGAGCCTGATTCATAATTCAGTTTGTCAGTGTTATAAAGGAAAACGTTCCTTTGGACTTCCTTGATATCCCTGAGCTTTCCAAAGAGACACTCCAGAGAAAATACAGCACAGCCAACACACACACACACACACACACACACACACACACACACAGATGGTCTGGGTGTGGGATTCTGGTTCAAACGATTTTGGAAACATCTGCAATTGCCATGGAAACAAGGCCTGCCTGGGCTCATATCCTCCTCTCCTCTGTTGCTGGAGGAGCAACGTTTGACGAGACTTTTCCAGAAACATCTGGACGGCCCACGTTAACACACACACACACACACACACACACACACACCTCCCAGATGGCTGCACGTATGAAAGAGCCTTAGTGAAAGCTTCCGTTACTCTAAAACAAGAACCGACCACTCCTCACAAATCTACTAAAACACAGTGATGAACAAACATGCGCAGGCTGTGCAATCATATGCAACCTGCATCCATTAACTCAGGCTGGAGTAAATGAGCTGCAACAGGTCCTCAGTGAACACTTCAGCATCATTTTAACATATGAAACCAGTGGGCACGTGTTGCTTCACATCAGGTAGCTGCTGTCATGAAGACCAGTATTCAGTGATGACAGAGGAGGATGATATGGGAAAAAAACGATCACATTATTTGTTCTTTATTTAAGTATAAAGAGTTTTCCGGAGAATCAGTAAAGAAACCATTTATGGAGAATATAACCAGACAGGAGTGTTTGTTTTGCTTAATCCAGCAAATTAAACACCTAATAAATCAATGAATTTTATCACAAAAATATACAAAAATCATAGTCCTCAGTAATACTACAAGACTTGGTCTATTAAATCAAGAGATATTGAGGGGGTAGACACCCCAATATACATTACATTACTTTGCTTCAGGCTTTAGACTCCAAAAACACAGAGATAATACAATATGTATTAACTACAGACTTCACTATAGTCACAAAATACAACAATCACTCTAATACTTCACAATAAAAGCCTTCCACGCTGGACAACTTCATATGGTTTTTGAAGTGAAGCAATTACAAGAAGCGTTCAGTTATATCAGGATTTTTACCGGTACCACAATACTGCAAATATGTGCCAAATCACATAAAAATAATCTAAATTAAAGCTCCATATACTGTAGTCTAAAGGTAGATGTACATGTGTTGTTTGATCATAAAGCAGGTCTAGGTTCTATATTAATACTGTGAAAGTATCAAAGCCTCAGTCCACAGAGAAATGCACACAGCCTGTATTCAGAAACTGAGCCTTAAAACCAGCCATCAGGACTTCTGGAACTTTGTGATGTCACAACAAAGCAGTCACAGCTCTCAGCTATGCCCCAAGCCCTGCCCACCTGGACCCACCTTCCAACCTTACAGGATTTGGTTTATCAGAGTATTTACCTGAAATCTGCTTTATTCTTAATGGATCACTCAGAAAGCAGTCAGCCAATCAGAAGAGAGGCTGAGAGCCTCCTCTCTTCTGACTGGCTCACCAACTTGTTGTTACCAGAGCTCCAGAGAGAAGCCTGAGAGAGGAGATGTAAAACTACATTGAGATGGTTTTTGGTTCTTAAAACCACAAATATATCTTCTTATAGATCAACACTTCAAATAAAAGACAGGAGAGGAGGAAAATATGGAGCTTAACTATGTTCTACTCAGATATTACAGACATATCTTTATATGTTCGAGACAAAAAAAAGTTACTCTTTAAGATACATTTGAACAATTTACTGTTTTTCTGGCGGTTTGATCAATTGTAGAAAATGTGATTGATTTAATTTATAGATTGTTCAGATGATGAGCTGCAGTCTAGATAAAATTCAAACCTCCAACAGACACAATCAATAAGTGATTGTCATGTATTATTGCATTATTACTGTCTGACCTGCTACAACCGAAGCTGTGCAGCTAATGATGGGATGTCTCTGGGGGAAGTAAGCTGAGTGTAATACATGTTGAGTGCTGCAGCACGCTGAATACATTTGAATTAATTTTTTCTTTTTTTTTTTTTTTTTTTACAGCTTGTCTTCCTGCTGCAGCTCCATGTTTAACCAGCAGGTGGCAGACAGACAATAATCTGTTGAGAGAGTGTGATTACAAGCAATCTGCTGATCTGAGCTTCTTGTAAAGGCAGAAAATTAAATGTACTAACATGGAAGAGCTAAGGTCTGTGTGTGTGTGTGTGTGTGTGTGTGTGTGTGTGTGTGTGTGTGTGTGTGTGTGTGTGTGTGTGTGTGTGTGTCTGCACACTGAACTGCGTATCACAGCTGTCATCCTAGACACACACATTCAGCTTTACAAGACGGCAGCTATCAACACACACTGCACAACTGGAAGCACAAAAGCAGACAAGTGACATGGAGAAGTAAACACACTACCATTACATCTCCAACATTATTCACACACATATTCACATGCAAACAGCTTCTCTAGTTCTACAAACACATTTAGATACACAAATCTAGTAACCCAGACTACCGTGATGTGTGTGTTCAATCATTAGCGCAGCTGGTTATATCCTCTAAACACACCCGTCTGTCTAACACGGTGAACATCAAAGTCTACAACACAATCTCCACAGCAATGACACGGTGACAGAGGACCTGATCCTCCCTGCTCCAGATTCATCAGCTTCGCTGAAACACTGACACTTAACACACAACAATACAGTGAACATTAACTTCAGCAATAAAATGTCTTACAGCTTGTGTTACCTTGTAAAGTTAGAGTTCTCCTTCACTGCAGAATCAATGTTTGATGAAATGCAGCCTCAGAAAATCAGCTGTTAATTGACCTAAGCCACTGTTACTGTCTGTCAAGTTTTATATTGCAGTACAGGATGAAGGCTGCAACTAACTATTATTGTCATTATCACTTTACCTGCAGATTATTTTTTCTGTAAAACATCAGAAAATGGTGAAAGACAGCTGTGACAGCTTCCTAGAGATCAACACATTTACTGTTTTCAAAGTAGTTATCAAAATAGTTTCAAATAAATTTACAGATGTACAAATATTGAAAATTTGTCATCATTTTTAAAGAAACAGGGACATGATTTCAAATTGAAGTATACAAAATCAATCTTTTCAGTTTAAGATGATGACTATATCGTTGGCTGATTAACGTTAACTTTGTGAGTTAGTTTGAGACTCCATCTCTGTCTGTTTTTTTTAAATGTTTTTTCCCACAGATCCATATGAAAATGAGAGCCTTGCACAGTGGTCTTAACGTGTAACTTCAGTCTCATCATCCAGCTTTAGTTCCAGTTGGTGGTGACATTGTTGAACTATAGCACAACACTACATCACAGCTTAGTGCGGGCATAGTTCATGCAGTCAGATTTAATGCAGTTGCGCTTTTCCGGTTTTAATGTACCGAATTCAATTTAATGGCGACTGCACTGTTAAAGTGCATTTAAAATCCTTCACTGACATGGCGGCAATTAAAAATAGGACAAACACATACTGTGAATAATCTATAACTGAAGCTTTAAAAGCCAAATAAAGAGGCTATAGGTAGCGATTATATGACAATCTTTTTGGGTAGAATCGCAATCTACGTTTAGCATTCTGTTTTTCGCTCTTATTTTATTTTGAAAGTCCTGACTGGAAGTTGTGATTCATATCTATTCGCCACTTGACGCTTCTTTTAAATGTTTGCCTGCTCTTCTTCGGCCACAATACTGTCTGTTTACACATTGTGTCACACCAAATAACACTTAGTTCATATGGAGTATTCATTTGGACAGTGCTGTTATTTATTCATTTATTAAGTACTATATGGAAGTATCTTAATTGGAAAGTTCATGTAATGTATGTCGTCTCTTTACTGACACTCAAAGGGAAGTAAAACCAGGTTTTCATAATCTCCTTCTCCTTTCCTCTCTGCCCCCCCAGCTTCCCTCTGGACCTGTGTTCCTGCTGCATGCTGCATTACATTTGGGTGGACATTCATCTTTTGTCACATCCCGTGGAGAGCCGCACCACAC